GAAGCAGTTTTGAAGATGCTAAAATTAATGAATAATAGCTCCTGCTTTGGTGCTCACCCTAGCACCCTGAAGAACAATCAAGTATCTTAATTTTCTACTTAAATAATATACTGTCTCCATACAAATGGTGGAAATCTGTTGAAGTAGGAGCAGCATATGATACCCCTTTGAGAAGAAGACAGGAGAGTGTCAGGTGCTTTCTAGCAGGGAAGTGATCAGATCACTCAACTGAGCTCTGGCGGATGCTCTGGCAGGGCAGGCCCTGCTGCTTGGACCTAGCCAGGAGATGCACAATGTCCAGCTGTCAGGCAGTGACCTCAGACCTGCAGCCACATTGGTAGGTTAGGCTTTGAGGGAGAAGGGGTCCATATTGTGTTATCCACTGCTGTTAGTAACAAGGTTTTTAGAGTAAGGAATGGGGTATTGAAAGAGATTCACTGTCTTTGGCACAGGGATAAGATCTATGTTTTATTAAGGAATGGTCATACAGTACAAAAATAGGATTATATAAAATCTGTGAAAAATACTATACCATTTAAAATAGCCTTTTCTCTTTTCATATGTTCCTTTCTTTTTAGAAAATATATATTGTAAATACTTCTAATCTTTTTTCTACTGGCATCAGAAAACCAAGTAAGGTCTTCAAATTACAGTTGAGATAAAGGACAACCGATAGTGTAATTTGAATTGTCTTGGATTTGCCTTAAAGTTAAAGATCTTTAGAAGAGGCAGAAGGAAAAAAAACCAACATTCCAGAAAAGTCTGGGAAAAAACAAAATATTGTTTTTGTTCACAGAAGTGAGAATGTTATTCAACTTCTGAAATTGTTTGATGCTTCTAGGAACAAAGTCTCCTAGCTCTGACCAGGAGAGGCTCCTAGGCCAGGAGGAATGAGGGCACCACCAGACCATGGAGCGAATGGCCTTGCCTATGTGTTTAAAGGCAAGCTGGTGCTTTGGATGGCCACAACAAAGCCTTGCAGTCTGTAGCAGACCCTGTGCATACTGCTCTGTCTGGACCCTCTTCAGCACCTCTCTGATTTCCATGGTTCTGAGATTCCAGCTGGAAAGATGCTTTAAATAAGAATTAAAAAAACTTTACAACCTGACCAAAAAAAAGTAAGTTTGTCCTTTTTTTTTTTCTTTTTCCTTTTTTCTTTTCCTTATATTTGTATATAAGGAAAAATAATTCCTGCTCATGATGTGATACATTTCCAGCAATATCTGGAAATAATTCGTCTGGGATAAAGCTATGTTTTTCCTAAAAGTCTAAGTGAATTAAGACCCTATTTTCTCTCTCCACTGCTGGACCGACCACTTTTTATTTTGTTTCAGGTTTTGTTTCTGAGCCTAGTTCTTAACACAAGCTAACAATTACTGAGTTAAATTTCATCAATATGCCTGGAAGCTACCCTGAAATATCAAATCCTGTACATTGTAACTAATAATTATAATTACTGGCATTATTAAAGCAGCCTGCTTTGAAGATGAGAGAGGTTATCAAAGCAAGTTCTGTTGCAATACAGAGACTAAACACAGCCTAGTACAGATGGCGTAAAATGTTTGCTTTTTGAAAACTGCACAGACTTGCCAGAGGCTCCTGGAACAGTCTAAGGTCTTGTCTACATGGAGAAACTGTCTGGCAGGACATCTGTGGGACAGCTATCTCAGCACTGTTAAACTTTTGCCAAGACCTCCGAGTGTTTCACGTTGGGATGTGAGTGCTACTCACTGTCACCATGCAGGCAGCCCTGGGGATAAAAAATGGCTCAACTGGACACTGGCTACTTAATGAAGAGAAAATAACACTGCTTATGGTGAGCATCAAATGTGTGTGGTGGTTGGCAGAGTCAGACTGGATGCAAAGGCAGGCTAGTAAGCGTGTAATTCTTACTCCAGTCCCTAAACTCCCACAGGCTCTGCTAGCAGCTGAAGTGCTTCTGTATGAGCAGGAAACACCAGCATCTTTCTGATTATTTCTAGTCCCTAATTTGCCTTACTCAGTGCCAAGAAGTGACACTGGAGCTCTGGTGAGGCAGTAACTGTGAGCTTATCTGCATCTCCAAGCAATAGGTCTGGGATGAAGATGGGATTCCTCTTCGGTCTCAAGGCTCTTCTCTAAGCTGTAGCAGAATGAGGTGGGAATGTATTCCTTCTTGCTCTGCTCTTGCCCTTAGGATGTAAGATCAAAACTCACTTGGGTGAGTTTTGGGGATGGTACAAGGGGTTGGTTAACAACCTCCAGGCAACTTCTTAGAGCATCTTCAGTTAGGGAAGGGACCCACAGCCCTGCAGCTGGTGGTGCACCGCTAAGCCATTCCAGGAAGCTTGATGAGACTGAGAAGCTGTGTGAACCATGACCAAATTGCCCAGTTCCCAAGTGCAAGGTCTGTGCTTCGAGGCAGGACCTTTTTTGCCCAAATGACAGTGATGTGCAGTTGATCCCCTGTGTGAGCAAGGTGCTGCAGCTGCAGGGAGGGGAATTCCCTGGATTTGCTCTTTCATCCCAGACAAGGACACGCTACTCAGCAGTTGCACAACCCGCAGTTGGCACAGCCGTCTGTCGTGCGTGCAGGGAGAATTCAATAATTCAGCAAGCAAAACCAGAGCCAGCAGCATACTTGGGCTCCAGCCAAGGCTGGGAAAGTTGTCCTAGCATCACATAACAGCTTCACTCAACAGCTTGAGATCTCCCTGCTTGGGAAAGTGCTGTCTGCCAGGAGAAGGAGAAACCCTCAGCCCACAGGTTTTCTGCTGTTCCAGTAGAGGGAAGAGACTGATGTACTGGTGTACTGGTTCTCACTGGTATCACACGACCTTTCCCTGTCTCAGCAGTGCAAAGAGACTCAAAAAGCTAGGTGGCCTTTGCCAAAGCATTAGGAAATATTGCCGTTTGCCCTTGCCCGCACTGTGACTATCATTATTTTTTCCTCCCTTTTTTTATTTCCTTTGTTGTTCTTATCCTTGGTTTCTGTCTGTCTTTCTGTCTGTCTTCCATTTTATTATTTTTTTTTTAATAAAGTGTATTTAGTGCTGGTGAAAGGTGCTGAACTGGCAGCCTTGAAGATGGGTGTCCCTCTACCCAGGCCAAGAGAGCCCTGATGCTTTCCCTGGACTTTCTCCTCTTAGCACCAATCCTGTGCTAGGACATCTCGCAGGTCCCTCTGCTCCCCAACCCTCTCTCATAGCTGCCTCTTGTTGGGACACCCATGGCTGAGCACAGGCTCCCACCTTCTGTCCCAGGCTTGGATGCTGCTGACCTGGACCAGACTGGACTCGATGGTGCCAAAGGGCACTTTTTTGCTGGGACCTGCTCCAGCTGCCATGGGGATGCAGTTTCTGCAAGGCGGAACGTGTCAATTCCCAATCAGATCCGTAACCCAGGTCAGCCATGGTCTGGTCCTGAGCAGTAGTCAGGTGTGAGAGGTGAGAAGGGAAAGTGGAAGCACCCCTTGGGTGCCACTTGTCTCTATGCCTTCGTTTAGAGCCTAATCCAGACCTGACCCCAAGTGCATCAGTGCAGACTGATTGTCTCTTCCTTCAAGTTCCTAAAGTGCAAATGAACACGACTGAATCACCCTGGGTGCTGCAGCCTAGCTCGGGGTCCTAGCGAGGCAAGTGGGGCACCAAGCCCTTGACTTGCTCCTGCCAGCCCCAATAAGGCTGTCAAATAACACCCTGGAGGTGTTCAACGCATTCCCCCCCCCTCCCCAAATACCAATGCCAACCTGTGCTACCACTTCGCCAAAGGGAAACCCCTTTGCTTACCTGTTCCCACCTCCCTCCCCACCCCTTCCCAATCCCCACCAAACCTTGCCAGCCTCCCCTGGGGCAAAGCAGCCTCCTCTGTCTTCCCATCCACGTTAAAGCTAAATGCAGCACCAAAATAGATACAAAAATAGAGTTTTGGGTCTATTGGCCCAGCTTTGCTATTAATATTACTGCTATGAAATGTCTGAAAATAAGATCCTCTCTCTCTGTACACATCTTTCCCCCCTCCCACCCCTTACTGACTATATTGCCATTTGCCCAGTCCTGTCACAACGTGACATGAATAGGTCTGTTTTCTCTATATTTTAAATATAATTTCTACTTTAACTCACCTAACACTTCTATCCCCCCATTGTAAACAAACATGGCAGAAAGAGGTTTGGAGAAAAAAAATATCCTTCATAATTACTAGTTTTCTGAATAGTATTTCTGACTGCTGGGACTCGAATCCTGCCAGGTCATTTAAAAGGACAGAAAGTACCTGCGATTTCTGACGAAGGCCCTGATGTCCTTCTTGGGTTTTCCATTGGATGCTCTCTGATTGAGATGAGAGAGATAATGTATTTGCTTTCCTCTATCCAAAAGTCATGAAGTGTTTGATCGGCAAACCCATGACTAAAAAAAGTAAATATATAAAACAAACAACCCACAGTCTCTTTCTTAATTTTTCCCGTCTATCCAATTTTTGAAGTGTGAAACTAGAGAAGCATAGAATGGTTTTCTCGGGGTTTTTTTCCTCCCTTTGTTAGGGCTTTTTTTCCCCACGTGCTTGACTGGTATGGCCTTTCTATAGCAAAAGTCAGATAAAGCGTAATTGCAGTCGTTTCTGCACATGGAATCATGAATCATTCCAGTGACTTGGGAATCTAAGCTGTTACTAGGCTAAAAAAGGAAATTTTTTTTATCTTTTTTTGATTGTTTTCATTTTGCATTATAATTAAGCATGAATATATATTAATATATTACACTTCTTGGATTGCAGCTGGAGCAATCCAAACCTTCCTATGCTGTAAAACTAACGCCCACCCTGCACTCCCCACATCAAGAGGTTTTTTTCTCCTCCCTGTGCCAGTTATCCTCAGTTCTCACGGTTAAAAGTCCCTCCCAGCCCCCCTCCCCCCCCCTTTTTTTTTTAGTAGATATTGCCACATTCTTAAATTCATGCATTGCTGCATTGCTATTGCACATATATAAAGGATTGCTCGCTCCCTCCCAGCTGCTCCCCATCCCTCACTGGTTGTGCACATCCTCTCTGCGGACGATCTTGTAGATGATCCAGTAGAAAATGTTGAAGATGAGGAATGCCATAGGGAAGCCGATGCGTGAGATCTTATCGATCTTCTTGGCTCGCTGAATGAAGAGCTTTCGCATCTCCTCGGGGGAGCGGGATGGTGGGGGGACTGGGTTGGCTGTGTTGTTGTTGTTGGCGCCCTTGACGGAGATGCCATCCTTGGCTTGTAAGCAAGCCGGTCCCATCCCATAGGCAGTGAAGTTGAACCTGCCTTCACCAGCTTCATCCTCCTGAAACAGATTCAACATGGGGCTCTACTTAAAATGAGATATAGACAGTGCACCCTCGCTATAAGGCTCTCCACTGACAGCTTCCTGCTCTGCAAGGGGAAGACGTTGTGTCTCAACCTTGGTGCCCTTGGACAAACCCTCTGCTCTTGGGAGATCAGCCTTATAGAGGGGTGCCAGCTGGGTGATGCACAGATGCAAATCAGGGGATCCAGGCACCCCATGGAGAGCAGGACTGACTTCCACCCCACTGGTGTCTTTGACATACTTGAACGGTTTGTGGTACTGCAGTCATTTTCCCAATTGTATCCCCTGTTTTGCTTCTGCCTTCCCCCACTCCCTCCCGCTCCTATCAGCACCTTCTTCATTATATTTGTGCTGCATCAACTTGCCCAGAAGGAGTGGGCTCCATGTAACTCATGCAGTCAAAGCCGCAGTGCAACACTTCCTACAGAGTTACATGGATGCGCAGGCACTGAAACCTGTCCAGGAAAAGACCTCTGCAGGCGGTGTGCAACCAGCCCTCCACTCGCCAGCCCATGGACCTCCCTGAGCCCACAGCCCCTTCCTACAAGCCATCTTCTAGGTGAGGACCAAAAATGCTCTTCTGCAGATCAATGGTAAGATACGGCTGCTTGTGTTAATTCTAATTATTGAGCAAGAAAACTAATTCATTTTCGAGTCTAAAGGCAAATGTTATATCTGTTTTTGGTGGAGGCCTTGCAGGCTTCTCAGAACAATTTAGCCCTATTTTATTGAACATGGGGATGTAATCATAGGAAAACCCAAGTTTGGCCAAAGTAGTACAACCAATGAGTTACAACGGCAGGGTCAGAAACCCAAGTCTCTTGACAACAGGTCATGGAGGCTAATTGTTAGACTAATGGCACTAATTAACTGTCACAGAGACTGATCCATGCTGTATCCTCCCAATACTCTCCTGTGTCCCCCAACACTGATCTACTGACCCCCTCCGTCATAACCCACTTCCTGAAGTGCCCTGCTGCCCCTTTCTCTCTTCTTTGCAGAGTCTTTTCTGGATGGCCCCTGTATCGAGCAGGCAGCTGCGCAGGATGGAGGTACTGTGCCAGGGGCTTGGAGTGGAGAGGCAGAAGGAAGAGCAGGCTGGTATAGCTGAGCAAAGCAAAACAGCCTGAATAAAATAAAACCTTTTTTGTTGGAGTTATTTTTTGTTTGGTTAGTTGGTTTTTGGTGGGGTAGGGTAGGTGGCAAGCTGGTGAGTTGCATGCCATAGCAAAGGAGAAAAGGGCAAAGATATCACCAGCCATACTAGACTGGCCTCCTTGGGCTGGGTCTCCAAATCCACTCCAGGTGGGTCTGATATTAACCGGACTCAAAGGGACAGTAACTATCCCAAGCCATCACAGTCCTTACATCTCCCCATGCCAGGACCTGCCTGCTCCAGTAAATATAGACAGAGTAATGAGTTTGAAGAGAGCTGCCCAGTTGATCTTTCTAATGTAGTCCTTCGCCTTCTACCAGAGGGAAGGAGGTAAGAGGTGGCTCAGAAATGGAAACGGCCAATTTAAACCTGGGAACAGATATTTTATTGAATTTATTTTTATTTTTTTTAGAGAGGAAGAAAGAGTCTTAATGATGAGAATAAGCTGGCACCTTGTATGTTACTCCAAGGAAAGTAAGAAACAGATTTGACTGGATTCACTTGTATTAATGCCAGACCATGGCACATTGCCTGGCGCGTTGAGCTGTGAAGAATGGCTGCTAGGTTTTGATTTGGGCAGACCTAATAGATGTGGGCATGGGCTGGTCCTCTCCCCAGCTGCCTCCACCAGCATGGACCACTGCAACATCTCACTTGTTTTTAGCCTGGCATGTCATACATAAACCAGGCAGAGCTACCCAGACGAATCAGGACATTGGGACAGAGTGTTTAAGTTCTTTGGCAGCCGCACTAACCTATTTGTATATTTGCAGTCAGCTCCTAGTTTTCTGATGAGCCTGCAAACCTTGTTCATTTTGCTTTTGCAAGTGTTTTTGTTTATGCTTTATTCCAATTAAATTGCTGTGAGATTGGGCAAGGATTATAATAGCAGCCTTCTGTTCAGTGGAACATCTCTGGCAAATATATTTTAAACTCATTTGTACATTGGCGTCTTTTTTTATTTATTGTTTTATCAACAGAATGATCCACATACGACAGCACAGATCCAGGGACAGGATGCCTGAATTTAGATGAAGAGATAAAAGAACTATGAGGCACCCATGATGGGTAGTTTTACCTTTAGCTCTATTGAGCAGACTACATCTTCTGAACCAAAACTGCCTCAGCTGAATGTGAGATGGAAGAGTCTCGCTCTGGCCAGAAAAAATCGGTGGGTGCTGATGGTCTCATCTGTTATTTCTTTTCCCTTGCATTTGTCCAACATATTTTATCCCTGCCTCTTTGAATGGTGGCCGTTCTCCAAGCACACAGTGTCAACTGCTGTAGGACAGGTTAGACACTGGGAAAGACTTTTAATGGCAGGGACAGTGAAGCAGTGGAATAGGGGCAGGTCTTTGGATGGGATAGATCACAGAGGGCTCTTTAAAATAGAGGGTAGACAAATACCTATGTGGAACATTTTAGGCAGATCTGGGTGGTCTCCTAGGAGCTCTCTTGAGATTCCCATCAGCAAAATTTTCTGTTATTTTTTTCTTTCCCTTAGCAAATTTACCTTTTTTAATGCTAGCTTGAAGGCAGCCTCTCAGACCTGATGCTGAAAGTTTGATACCACCTACCTGATTCTACTAGATAATGAAGGAAAAATTTTAAGTGCTTTTGGTCATGTGATCACTTTTATGTTTCTTTCCAGTGCATCCTGTGAGGTGAAATCTTTGCTGTGGTACCTCAGCCTAAAAGCTAGTAGCGTCCAGGCTGTAGGAGGTGTGTGTCTATGTAACGCATGCATGCATGGGTTGGCATCAGTCACGGCAAGTAAGCATGGAGTGAGGCTAAGACTGAGTATAGGCTCTTTCCTTCTGAGAGGAATTTGCAGTCAGTCTGAGAAGCAGATGGTTTTGCATACAGAGCTGACAGAGACAAAAGAGGTGTCACTTACCTCCAGGCTAATGTAGGCTGTCTCGTTGGGGGATGCTGTTCTCTGATAGACATCCCTCACACCTCCCTGCCCACCTCCCCCCAGCCCTTGCTGTGTCTTCTGAAGAGGAGTACTCAGACCAAAACATTGCTGTGTGAAAATTTTTCAGCTGAGAAAAACTCTTTTGGCTTAGACCACTTGGCTAGCTAACAAAAGCCAGCCTGCTAGACTCGTGGGGTCAGCAGACTGTTAGAAGAGACACAATTCATTGCAGTAGCTCTGCTCTTTGATGTGTGACCCTCCTTAACATCTGACCATACTCTGAGGACCTCCCTGGGAGCTAGTGGCTTGGTTCAGTTGACCATGTAGTGATATTCTGCTGAGACAGATTCCAGCCATGTCCTTCATGCTTTATGTATTACCTTATGATGCCTCCTCTTCCTTCTGAACCTGAGCAGTTCCTTGTGCTGCCGAGACACGAAGTTGACGGCAGCATACTCTAGAAGTGCAGAGAACACAAACAGCAAGCACACGGCCATCCAGATGTCTATGGCCTTCACGTAGGACACCTAGGAGTCAGAGAGATTGAGATGGGGTGTCTTCTTCACCTAAATGCCTTTTTGCTTGACATTTTATATATTACTCCCCAAGTCTTTGGAAGGAATTGATCAAACCGTTGACACCTGCTCTTGGATACCAAAATCTAGCTCATTTAACATGAATGTATTATCAGGCCACTGACCCTGCTCCTAGGCTCTTAAGTAGCAATAATTCTACAGTTTCTAATTCATCCAGGTCTTGGGTATGATGGTTTATATGCAAGGAAAATAGTAATCCAATCTGACCTCACTAGAAGTCCTTCATAACAGGGAAATTCAGTACTATTATTGTATAAAAGTACAATGGTCAAGTGAGTAAAAGCTAGAATGTAGAGTGCATATCTATGTGTGGTTGTTGCAGGCATTTGTAAGGTGCAGAGCTCCTGGCTACTGGCAGCTGTGGTGGATCTTGGGGTGAGTGTTGAATCTTTGGGGACGTTTGCTGCCATTCATAGAAACTCTGCTAAAATTTTTGCAAAAGGGGACTGGAATTTGTTCTGCTTGCCCTCAAACTGGAATAGGGCGATGGCAGCAGAATGTGTCTTATGTTGAACAGGAGGATCTATGTGATGACTTACATATGTGATGTCCCCAGAGAGTGCATATTTTTCCCCCCCACCCCTGCGAAGACAAGCGTGTTCCCTACCTTGGGCAGTGATGCTCGGGAACCAGAGCTCTGTGTGGTCATGGTGAGCACTGTGGTGATCCCCAGGCCAACGCGAGCAGGTGCAGCATCCATATTGATCCAGAAGGAGATCCAGGACAGAATGACAATGAGGAGGCTGGGGATGTACATCTGAATCAAGTAATAGCCCATCTGCCGCTCCAGGTGGAAACGAGCTTCTATACAGGTGAACTTGCCTGAGAATGGGAGATACTTGGCAGATTACTGTTTTCAACTATTGCCTGGGGACTTTCCTTGAATTGCCTAGAACCAGAGGCTTGTTAGAGGAGGAAATGAACAGCTGCTGCCCAGTTCTGAAATATGTATGTACAACATCAATGTAGCACAGAAAGCTCTTGGCAGTATGTCCTTTGTCACTTAAATGTCACCTGCTCCCTTGCATCATACACTTTTGTCCTGGTTTGAGCTAAATAGAACTAATTTTCTATTTAGTGATTTTACTTTTCAGCTCAGTCTCTTTTAAGTGACTGAACTTGCTGAAAACTGGCAGCATGTTTTCCCAAACAGCGCTGCTAGAAGATATGCTCAAGGTCAGTTGTCTCATCCTGGGTGCTGTGTCTGTGCCTACGGGGGGAGAAGCAGACCCAAAACTGACCAACGAGGTATTCCATCCCACATACGTCATACTCGGTATAAAACCGAGAGATCACGAGGGTCTCTGGGTTTTTTTCTGTTTTTCCGCCCTTTTGCCTTTTCC